AAAAAAAAAAAAAAAAGAGGAGAGAGAGAGAGAGAAACATGATCAGAAAAAAGAAAAGGAACCAGGTGTGGTGGGGCACACCTGAAATCCCAGCACTCGGGAGGCTGAGGCAGAAGGCTTGCCATGAGTTTGGGACCAGCCTGGGCTACATAATGAGTGAGACCACTGACGCAGCAACTTCGCTTCTCAAAGTTAATTCTGAAGAAATAACCATGGATATGCAAAATTAGTTACAAGGAGGTGGGTCATGTTTTTGGTTTTTCTTTTATTGTTTGTTTGTTTTCAGAACCGGGGACTGAACTCAGGTCCTTGCGCTTGCCAGGGAAGCGCTTATTCCCCTGAGCCATCTTCCCAGCCCGTCTTCCTGTACTGTCCAGGCTGGCCTTGAGCTATGCACCTCGTGCCTGCCTCAGCGGCACAACTGTCCTGCTTCACCCTCCCAAGTCTGGTCTCCAAAATTTACAAGCCGGCCGCTGACCCACTCTAGACGGCAGTGCACCCGTGTGTGGACCCATTTCTCCTTCCTTAGCCATTAAGTAGGTTCAGTTCTAAATGCAACTGAATTCCTACACAGGAGAGAAACAGAAGCCTTTTCTATGGGCACAGCTTTAAGCAGTGCCGAATCATAAATGACAAAGTTGAGCATGGTAGAGCCCACCTGGCATCCCAGCACATGGGAGGCTGAGACAGGAACATCGCCCAGAGCTCTAGGCCAAAAATGTTCTCACTCTTTTGGTCAAGCTGGCCTGCAGCTCAGACTCAACCACCTTCCTGCCTCAGCCTACTATGTAGCTAGAACTACAGGTACATAATCACCTCCCCAGCTGAGAAACTTAAAAGTAGCTTTATTGTTCAACATGTCATGATATAGCTACATGAAACAATACTGGACCATGACAATGACGTTGTAAAAAATATCTCAAACAATTATTATGTTAACAAGCTACAAGCGGTAGATCAGAGGCACATGGCTGCAATTCCAGCATGCTAGGAGGACTAA